AGCAAAATTAATCGAACTTGAATGTTGATTTATTACTGTCTATTTATTGCAACATGGAAAGTGAAAAACATGTAAAACAGTAAAATTAGTCATTAGGTAAATACCAGCATAGAATCAGTGATTTTGAGAGCTTTGTTAGTGTACACCACGTGAGGATTGTGGTCTTAGGTTCAAATTTTTCTCATGTAAAGATTTTTTTTTTCCATGTCACCAGAAGTACGGAAAAGGTGTAAGTGGAAGATTATTGGCCTTTGCACAACAGAAGGCACTGAAATTTTCCAGGATGATTTTTTCTACAAAGTTATAAATTAATATTTGGGTAACTAGTTCAGTAGTACAGCGTAAAGTAAGTTATCTGTGCTGCTGTAAAATGCCTGTGTCTCAAAGTTCCTAGAAGACAATCTACATGCTTACTGTAAGAAAAAGTAAACAAAGAACAAGGAAAAAAAATAAATTAACTTGCCTAAGAGTCAAAACCTTTTTAAGATACATGGCAGGAAAGCGGACACAAAATTGGAGGGAGAAGAAAGTAAAGAATATAATTAAAAGGTTATTTTCTTCTCTTTCCAGTTACTTGGAAAGTTTTATTATTCATATACACTTGTTGAACTTGCATGTAAATGATTGATTGACTCAGTGAACTCATTGTAATAAATCATGTTTGATGTGCTATCTTGAAAAAAATCTTTTGAAATTCTGTCTCTTCTTTGTCTGCTCACCTTGTGGCTTTTAATATCTTGTTTCCCATCTGTCTGATTCCATCATAAGCTGAGTATAAGTTCAGACTGTAATGCAGCTCTCTTTTTGTTCTGGTTAAGTAAGTATGTAATGCAAATATGTGATTTGGCCGTCAACAGTAATATCAGAAAGGAATGTTGAAATGTGTGTTCCCTTTATTGATGTGAAATAAAGAAACGCTTATCTGTAGATATTTGATAATACATATTTACAGTGCATAGATCTGTCTCTGCAAGCAAATGAATACAGAGATGTCTGTATCATTGTATTACATCTGCTTTAATGTTACAAGTCCGAAGGTTACTTTTAAGGATTAGCTCTTAATTAAAGGAGAAAAGAAATAGGTCTATAAGGTTTCAGGAAAGTAGTTTTAAATGTAGATTTAAAAGTACTTAACTGAATGTGTAATACAGATGCACCCAAACTTCATTTTGAGAGATTGAGTGATATTCCTACTGCAAGAAGTGTCTCTAGCAGTGAGGTCCTAACTGACTCTTGAATTACAGGGGAATTTGGAGAAATAGACTTATTTTGTTAAAAACATTTTTTCTAGGGGATATAATGTTTGTAGAAATGTTCAGTTGGTGTATCTTCTTTATGCTTATAGTTCAGTAATTTGCTTAACAACTGTAAGATACAGGTAGATGAATTCTTTGTGTTCTTTATTAAGGAAGTAAAATGCATATGCTGAAAGATGTTTTCGGATAGTGCCTTTTTAGTGAGAGTAAATCTTCCGAGAAACCAGAGAGAACGAACTAAGCCAGGAATAGAGGAAAGGGGAAAGCACCATCGTCCTGAGGCCTTCTAGAAGAGTTTCATGGGACAGTAGAAATAGAATCATCTTTTAAGTCTGCTGAATTCATCAGAGACTTGTTATGAAAGGGGCAACAGGCTGCAGAGTTCACTCAACTAAGTGTGTTCATACATAAAACACAAAGCACTGAAATATTTACTTCGATGTGGTCAATATAAGTTTATTTGGGTGATGATGATAATACTACTAGTAGTACTACTAGTAATAATTCTTTTTTTCTGGCTGATTTGACTATGAACGAGGTACCCAACTCAGAAAAATCAGAGGGAAACAAAAGCCTTTTTCCTTCATGATTTATTGAAAAACAATGAGTAAACCAGTTTCCGCAGGACAACAGGCACATGCATTCATGCAAGTGATTGGTACGTTTACTGAAATGGAATTATTCTTCAGACTAAGTATCATGTTGAACTGAGGTCTTGATATAGTCTAAGCAATTTTTAGTTCCAAAATTGCTCAGTCTTTACTAAGCTTCTGACTTCCCTGGAATTTGCTGTCTATTATTACTGAAACAAGTCTTTGAGCAGAAGCTTTAGTGGTGCAATTCCAATATCTAGTGAGTATTATGTTTTAGGTCTTTTTTTGCTGTTGTACTGTGAACAAGTGCTTTGGAGAAATGTAGATGTGTATGTTTTCCACCATTGAAATAATTATATTCATCTCATTGAGAAAGCTGAAGCAATTTGCAACACTGTGTTAAAAAGGTGGGGGGTTTTTTAAGGATGGAAGGTTTCTTGTGAAACTTCTTGAGAAGAATTTTTTTAATGAAACTGTCATGGTTTAACCCCCCCCCAGGTGGCTGCTCGCTCACCCCCTTTTCCCCTTCAAGGCGGAAGAGGGAGAAAAGGAGGGGAAAGAAAAAAACCTCATGGGTTGGGGTAAAGACAGTTTAATAGAACAATATCAGAAAAGGAAAAATAGCACTAATAATAGCAATAATACTAATACTACCAGACATTCTCACTGCCTGGTAAATTGGCGCTGTCCTGAGCATTGATCATGGATTCCTGCCCCCCAGCCAACCCCCATTTATATCCTAAGCATGATGTCTATAGTATGGAATATTTAATTGGCTGTTCCACTGGTCTGTCTGTTCTTCTATGGGAAGCTGAAAGAAAGCCCCTGAATAATGTAAACATCACTTAGCAACAAATAAAAACAAAAGGTATTATTGACATTCCATACAAAGCAATCACTAGAAAGAGAAATTAACTCTGTCTCAGCTGAAACCAGGACAGAAACTCATAGCTCTATTTCTACAGCACAGAATATAAACAAACAAATGGAATGAAATCTTTGCTCTGTATTCAATATCAATATTTTAGGATTTTTGTTTCACTAGGTTTTAATTCACCATGTCCTTCCCAGAGTTAAGTTTGGTATAGCGTTTCCTTCCAGAACTGTGGAAAGTTAAATGCATGTATCACAGAGGGCACCCCTATGTCTTTAAAAGTAAAAGCCCATTATAGCGGATGCATGTCACTCAGTGAAATTTGTGTGGAATACAGCAGCTGTGTACTGTTACACACAAACAATACAGAAGAATATCTAACAATTAATATTTCACCATCACCATACCCATTTGTCGTTCATTTAGTGGCCAGCTCAGCCTAAACCATGACAGTGAAAAGTAAAATAACAGAAAAGAAAATGGGTTTTGTTCTACCTCAAACCAGGACACCCTTTACTGTGGTAGGAAAAATATGACTGTGGAGTGTGACCCCAAATTGAAAAATGACAGGAACGATGAGTCTAGGGTATATGTTATTAATAAATAACACACTTTTGTGACTCATTAAACTCTCTGTAATAACTGTGTGTTTCATTCTGTGTTGCTGAGGAGAGTTGCAAATCAAAAGAAAAAGTCCTTTATATGTACCTCCCAGATCCATTTCCTTAATTGCTGAGATTTTCCTGGGGCCTAGGGGACAGACTAGACATTGTTCAACATTTTGGGTGAATGAAGTGACACTGGGATATAATAACCTGCTGCTGAAATCCAACTACAAAGTGTTTTCCAACAGTACTCAGGAATAAGGCATTGTATTTGTAGTTAGTATATATGGATGAAGTTTTTGGCAGCAGTTAAATTCTTATTTACTGTATATTTTCTTAGGTTTTCTGCTGGACTAAATCACTGTATCCATGATTTACAGTTAAATATTTGCTTTGCTTTAAATGTGAGAGTGACCCATTCACATTGCCTGTTCAGCGTATATGGAGAAAGGAAAAGAAAAGAAAAAGACAAACTTTTTCTAGAAATTCTGATATAATTCACATATTGGAATGTGAATGGTTGACTCTGAATTAATTACTGCATGTTTTGATGTAGATTAGACAGATTAGTAGGCACAGAATAGCGTAAACACTTGGATCGTCATAGCAAATTTCTTCTGTCTAGGGGAGAAATACAAAGAAAATAATATTTTTGGAAAAAAAATATTCACATGACCTGTTGTTTAGGCCAGCAGTTGCATACTGGCACACCTAGTTAACAACATAAAACACATACATTGTGTCTGGTTGAATAAGTGATAACCTTGCATGCTAACTGCATGCAAATGCTTTATTGCATTACTCGGCTTCAGATATATAGTCACACACTGTATTCTTTCGAAGAAATTAGAATGAAAAATCTGCCATTGATTATAACAGAACCACTGATTTTCATGCATTACTACATCATAAATGTTTCACTTGTTTTTCTTAAGATATATTCGTGCTTACAAAGTATACATTTATCCCCTCAATTTATGGTTACTAAATTAACATGCAATATTTTTCACAAAATTAATCTTTTTCCAGGTTTGTCTGTCTGACTAATAACTTGATAAATCTCTCCTTATCTTCTAATGGCAGATGATTTATCAAGGCCTACCACTTAATTAATATTACAGAGCATGTGGGGAGCTGAAGAAGTCAAGTATTTTCTGTAGCTTGGGCATGTAAAATGAGAAGCATAGGAGAAAACAGAAAGATAATCTTGTAACTGAGAAAAAGCCTTTGTGATTTAAGCATGAGATTAAGGTTCAGGAAATGGTGAGTTCTATCCCAGAAATCCATCATGCTTCCCACCAGACCTTGGATAAGACACTGATTTTTTTTCTTTGCTGCAGTTGACCATTCTGCAAAATATTTATTGTAATAGTGTCTTATCTCTTAGGGTAGTTTAATGCTAGATGTGTCTAGCATTACTAGTCTTATAGGACACTTACTAGTTTTTGAGTTTATTGAGTTGTACTTATACAAAAACTTCCATGCTATGGATACAGCCTGGATTTTTTCATATTAAAAAAGTGTACATAATATGTAATATGTAAAGGATACTTTTGTGGCATAAATATTTTAACTTATATATCTGAAGCGCGTGTAAGTATACAGAAATGTCAGAGAAGTTGTTAATGAAGTTTCAGCTTTCCTGAATACTTTACTTTTTCTCCATTTCCAGGTTGCATGTCTCACTCATGTAGCAGCTAATTACCTTAATTTCAAAATTGAAGCAAAACGCTGGGGTACTGCTCATGGGAGTATTGTTCCGTATCAGGTAAGCAGAAAGCATTAGGGTTTTTTGCTCTTAGAATTTGTGATTTTGTGTATTATGAGATTGAGAACTGACTTATTTTCCCCATGACCTGCTGTAGTCTGTAATGTGTCTGTGACTAGGTAGGACAAGGTTCTATTGTTCATTGTCATTTCTGCATTTTTCATATTTCTTCATCAGCAGTAGATTAGTAACAGAACACTGAAATAGATCAAAGGTGTTTGCTGAAATTGGATGACTTTAAAGCTAGCATGATGACTTGATTGGTTTTCACCTGACAGAGGAACCTTTTTTTTTAAGGGCTACCTGACTTCCATGCCAGCTATAAACTGAAATCTGTTGCGTCTGAATTTTGGTATTTTTATCTTATGAGCCTACAAGAACTGTCTCAATGATCATGAAGTTCTACATATTTGTCATTTTCCATTGATTTTGCTACAAATCACAGTTGCTCAGTGAGACAACAGGTTGGCAAAAGGAATTAACCAGACCTCAGATCTCCACAGTGGAACTCATAGTTTGCTACATCTAATGAAAGGTTGAAGTTCCTTAAAATTACATGACCTTCATCATATAAACAAACACAACAATAATTTACTGCAAGTTTTATCTGACTTCTGGCTAGTATGGGAAACTCTTCCAGTAAACAAAGAAAATTTTGTTCTTTTCTAGCTGATCATTTCATTTTCTTGATGGAGGTCATGCTAATTTATGGAGACTTGGGCATATATTTGATTAAAAAAAGTATCTATTATTTGTTTCATAATTTTTGGTGCTTCTTATCAAATAGTCATGACTGCAACTAGCTAGATAGAGCCTGGGTTTCTTAATTTCTGACCAGAGTCCTTTAAATCCTGAGAGTGACAGTACCCAGCGTCTGTCTGGGAGAACTGCACCTAAAGATCACTCAGTTTCTTTACCATCTCCTTTCTTTTTAGAGAAAGGGAGAGTAACTCGATCTGTTGTCGTCTTGCCAGTGGTCAAGATGGTGGTGGTCGTAACATTAAAAGATTTGCTGCTTGTGGCCATAAAAACCCTAGAGCAAAAATCTTCCATCATTACGCAGAACACTATCACTGGATAGTGTTGTAAGCAGGTCTCCTCAGGTCTAAAACCAAAATCAGTTGGTTTGGGAAGAGATACATCTATTTGAGCTGGGAGACTTTTTCCGGTACATACCACTGTGTAGTCAACTGTCAGATTGGCTAGAACAGATTGCAGACTATCTCCGATCGATGGGGAGACGTTGCAGCTCTTTCTGCAAGGATGAGTTTGGTCCTGCAGTATTCTTGTCTTGGGTGTAGCACAGCTCTGACGGCTGCGCTGCTCTCTGGTTGGCCCGGTGTAGCAGTATGGCCGTATTTTCTAGAACCATCTCTGCATGACCCAACGTGACCAGGCATCCACTACACAAGTAGTTACATTCTGCTGTGTTACTGTAATGTGACCTTTTGGTGCAACCCTTTTTGAACTTTGGTATGTTGAAAGTCCAAAACAGATCTGAAGTGTCTGAAGTTTGTATAAGCAAAACCAAAAACCTGACTAAACAAAACATTTTATCTTCACCGTACTGCATTTGGCTGAGTAAATGAAACTTGCATTCTTTTATCTCCTTTTGCCTTTGTTTTTCCAAAGTCAAAATGAAAAGAAAAGCGTACATTGAATATCCTTTGTTTCTTTTTTCATAGCCAGCTCTCTACATATACAAAATCCGAGGAGGCTGTTTTAGCTATCTTCTCGTTTAATCTAGATTAGTCAATATGTAAATAACTATTTTTTAAAAAAAATGCCTATGTAAACTATGGTTCCTGTGTTTCTGTATGCTGTTTCTGTAGTAGATATTAGAAATACTACCTCAATATTATAAACAATTTTAATCTGAATTTTCTTGTTCATAAACCAGTCATTAGGGTGGAGTTGTGTGTGTGTTTATGGCTCATCTGTTAACATTCCATCAGCTAGCATGGTTAAAATTCTGATTGTAACCATAAGTATATTATGCTTTCTAGAGTTTATTTTTCGCTTTACTAACATAAGCTATACTTAGACTGCAAAGCTCTTCAGAAACTTGAATTAACCCTCACAGTTGCTATTGTACTGCTTTTATAGTTGCTCCTATAGCTCATTTGTAATACAGCTTAGAACAGGACTCTGAAACCTGACTTTCATCCGTCATTCTAGTTATTGAATATACTGTCTTTTGCTTACTAAACTTACTACTATGTCAGTATCGCAGCGCTAATTTTTACAAATAATTTTTTTGTTTGTTTCAAGATATTTTTGTGCAAGTCAACTATAATTTGTTCAAATAATTCAAATAATATTTCAGAAAATTGAATTTCTGTATATTTCAGAACAAGTACGTAGTAGCAAACTGTTTTTTTTTCCCTTATGTTCTCAAATTTATTTTATTTTCATTTGCTGTATTTTGAGTTTTCACACGGGTAGTAAATTGTAACCTTGAAGTGATACAGAGCCTGAAATCCTGCTAAAAAGTGTCAGACTATGTTAAAGCATGGAAGATTGGGTAAACATGAGAGATCCTTTCATAGGTATTAGAAAGGCAAAATATAAATTTACATCATATTTTGTGTGACAGAATTCTGAGCAGAGTCACACTAGAGTACTGAGCAAAATTTAATGATTTAATAAAAAATATGTCGAAAACATTTTAAGTAATTACGTAAATAGTACCTTTTTTTTGCTTAAAATTGTTATAGTAAGTGTTCTAGTGCTCTTTTTAACACATCCATTAATGTATACTGAATGGTATTGTAGTTTTTATTTCATTGAGCTTATTTTGAATGATTTTGTTCAGAATATCTTTGCAAATGGCTCTATTTGTTTCTATTTAGAAGGCCAAATTTAAATTTGAGTATATCTCTCTAATTTCACTGAATTCCCTGTTGCTTCTTAACTGAAAAACTAGCAGCATAATTTGCCCCTGAATGTGTTCTCTAAGTAAGACCTTTCTTGCTTTTTCTTGTATTTAAAAACATAGAAATTGACCATCAATGGTCAGTTGTTTTTTCTCTTCCTGAAACTACCGAGATGTGTAGCCCTTTTGAAAATCTATTTCTGGTCTGAGCAACAAGCTCTTAATAAAGAGATATAAAGGACTTTCATACTCTCTTAAGGTTTTTCTCATTTTCTCTTTGTGGCATGATCATCTGTAATGTCTGAGTTTTCAGTTCTGTGTGCTCACCACCAGTACCCAAAGGAAAGGATTTGAACTTCTTTTGAGTGTAGAATGTCTTTCAGGGTTCCTGTAAAGCTGTCTGTAAAGGTTTGCCATAGGTTTTCAGTGGAGGTGAACTTTGCAATGTGCCACAAAGATGAAGAACTCTAGATTCTAATCAACCAAAATCAGAAAGAGATTTTTGAGTGCTGAACCCTTCGTGAGAAATTCTCTACTTTGAGCATATCTGCTTTTTAATCAGAGCGATGTAGTTTGAATAGGTCACTCCTGTGATAGTGCCTGCAATCAGATCCCAATTTGCTTGATTTTAAGTGTTAAAACACAAACCTTGAGTTTTGGGCTGTATCTTAAACATAATTAGTGCAATTTCTTAAAACAAGTTTCTATGAGACACCTTGTTTAGCTACAGCTGCTCCATGATTATCCAGAGGAAATCAGTGGCTTAAAAGCATCCGGTTTACATAGTTGTGCTGAAAAGTAACTGTCTTTAATTTGGGGTGATAAGGTCTTCCCTCATTCTTGTGGTTTCATCAGTGTAGCTATCTTGCCTGTACCATGCGTGGGATCTAGACATTCACTTTTTCATCTTCCAGTTGGCCCACTCGTAATGGATATTCATTCTCCTGAGAAAGTCTATCATAACCTGCGTGTTTACAGGACGTTTCCTGTGGCAGCTTATCACCCTGCCATCAGACACTTGGAAAACTGGGCAGTGCTTTCAGAGGCAAACTTTCAGCAAAAGGTATAGGGCTGTTTTCTCTCAGGCTATAATGATGAAAGTCTCTTGAAAAGATGAGAAACCAAGCTCTTACAGATATTCTCTCCCGCCGCCCCCTCAAAGAATATGATATTATTTCTGTTGCAGATTTGGTCCGAGGACTCACAGGGTCTTCTCGAGTATACTTTCGGAATATTTTCAGAATATGCAAAGGGCACAACTGTTCTGCACAGAAGTTGAAACCATGACAGGAAAGAAATTATTATTTAAACCAATTGTCTTTTCTGTTGACTGACCTGTGCATTGTCATAGCTCATCAGACCAAACATTAATGTTTTTTATATTAGAGCATCACTTAGATTCTTTAAGCATCAACTTCTTGTTGTACTAGGCATAAAATTTCCTACATGTGAGGAAACTGTCTCTGTGTCAAAGCCCTTGCAGTTGAAATGTGTTATGAAAACCAAAGTCTAAGCTCACAAGGAATTGAAAAGTATGAGTTAGTAGGAAGATGAGTATAGTCATAGATATAAATATCTCTGCATTATTTTTAGCATCTGCATCTCATACTTTTTTCTTGTGGAATTTCATCCTGTCCAGGAGTCTTACAAAGAAAATCCCACTCATGTCACTTGTGTCTCATCACAGGAACAGAGATATGCAGTAAGTTGTACTTACCTGATTCATCTGGCAGAGATGCCTTTCATACAAAGGCACAATGTGCACCAACTTTCCTAACTCAGCTGTGGAGAATCTCACAGAACTTTTAATGACTTTTTTTTTTTTTTTCTTCCAGTAGAGAGGGCAACAGAATAATGTCAATCCTTCAGAAATTTCAAACTGCGTATTCCACACAAGAATGACGATGTGTAGTCATTTTATTTTCTGTCTTTATGTGGTCTTATTGGGGTACTTCTGCAGTTAATGTGTCTTGGAATCAAAATCAACAAAGAATAGAACTTGGATTATTTGCAGTTTTGTTTTATGCATGAAACTCTCCTTCTTAAATAAGTCCAAAATGGATGTTGTGGAAGAAAATCTTTCTGCTCTGTAATGGCTCAATCTAGGAGAAGATGGAATTTATAT